ACTTTATATTATTCAATAAAATAATAAATAATTTAAAAGGTTCGTTTTTTAATGAAGTGTATCCAGAATTTTTAATTTAGGACCTGAATTTTAATTTGGGTGCATCCCTAATTTCTCACATAAGGGTTATTTAAAAGGACTTAAAGACAAGCCAGCCAGCTATAAGGAGAATCACAACAGTACATACATTGAGCTTAGAAATGTGTAAAAATTTGACAAAAATACAAAGATAAAAGACTATAAATTTATCCACTATATTAAGAGAAAGAACTACAATCCCATGAAGCATTGCACATCACACACTCAAAATAAAACCGACAGACAGCTGTTATAATATATATGACAGGAATTTTTCCTAATGCTTTTAAAAAAGCTGTGGTAAAGCCACTTTTAAAAAAACCAAATTTGGACTCCACAGTTTTAAATAATTACAGACCAATTTCTAATGTTACATTTTTTAGTAAGATTTTAGAAAAAGTTGTATTGCTACAGCTCAATCAATTTTTAGATGAGCATAAAATTTGGGAAAAATATCAGTCAGGTTTTAGAAAAGGTCATAGTACAGAAACAGCATTATTGAAAGTAGTTAATGATATGCGCTTAAACATAGATAAAGGTAATGCATCAGTTTTAATTCTTCTAGATTTAAGTGCAGCATTCGACACGGTTGATCATTGCATTTTGATTAACAGACTGGAAAAACTTGTAGGTCTCTCTGGGATAGTTTTAAATTGGTTCAATACATATGTCACAGAAAGGACATTCTTAGTAAATATAGATGAATATACATCGCAAGAACACAATATATTATATGGTGTTCCTCAGGGATCTATCCTAGGCCCAAGTCTATTTTTATTATATATACTTCCTTTAGGTAGTATAATTCAGAAATATGGCATGAATTATCATCTTTATGCTGATGACATACAATTATATATTTCTGTTGAGCCAAGAGACACAACTGCATTGGAAAATTTGTCCAACTGCATGTCCAATATTGTGCAATGGATGACTGCAAATTTTTTAAAGTTGAATAAAGATAAAACAGAAATTCTAATTGTGGGCAAAAAACCTGAGCGAGAGAGGATTGAAGCAGAACTGTGTTCTTTAGGTTTACAATCAAAAAAAGAATTAAAGAACCTGGGTGTTATTTTCGATTGTGATCTTAGTTTTAAATCTCATATTAATCAAGTTACAAAAACATGTTTTTATCATTTACGAAATGTTGCCAAAATTCGTTCTTTCCTATCTTTTGATGATGCCAAGAAATTAATTCATGCTTTTATTTTCTCTCGGCTTGATTATTGCAATGCTATCTATACTGGTCTACCTAAGGGTTCTACAATGAAGTTGCAATTGATACAAAATGCAGCAGCCAGAGTTTTAATGAAATTGAAGAAACGAGAACACATTACACCAGTATTAATAGAATTACACTGGTTGCCTGTGCACCAAAGGATAGATTTTAAGATTCTTTTATTAGTTTTTAAAGCACTACACAATATGACACCTTCCTACATTTCCGACTGTTTAACAAAATATAATCCAAACCGTTTTCTACGCTCTTCTAGTGCTGGACTTTTAGAATTTTACCCTGTAAATCTGAGGCGATCTGGCGGCACTTCTTTTAGCCATTATGCTCCAAAAATTTGGAACTGTCTCCCCCTTGAAGTGAAAGAATCACCAAGTATTCATGTTTTTAAAAAGCGTGTTAAGACACATCTTTTTAAAATTGCGTATGATTAAACAAGTCTGTTAGGTGTACGCATTTTATCTATTTTGTTGTAGGTTTATGTATGTAATGTATGGTGTGTGCCTGCATATGTAAGGACTATTGTGTGTGTGATCATGTGAATATACACTTACATTTTGTGTACATGAATGTTTTTATTTCAGTATATGTGATAAGTTTTTGTGGTCTATTTTAATTGCTTTTGTTGTTGTTTGTGAGGCACTTTGAGTTGCATGTATGTTGGAAAAGTGCTATACAAATAAAGTTTATTATTATTATTATTATTATTATTATTATAAAAGCCAAGTTCATTGCAAAAATGTAGTAATATATACACATATGTAAGTGCTTCATAATAGTGGGTGGGGCTACAGGTCTCTCATGTTGCAGCTTCTCTCTGAGTGGTTGATATTCCGCACTGCATCATGGGTAATGTAGTGTTTTTGCTCAAATTGTTCTATTAAACAACCCTAATTAAAATCAACTAAATTAATCTGACCAGACAGACTTGACGAATGCATATAATCAGTTAAAGCCCTCACAAGAGGTCAGTCTTATTCAAAATATGATTTATTTTCCTAGTCATCTTTCCTCTTATGTTTTACTGCGGGAAGTGCTCTACAGTTCAGCTCTTCATCGACTGTTGGCATGTTTTAATGATGTTGTATTTTCAGCCGTTGTTAAGGTCACTATTGAGCCCGCAAAACCAGTCACAGTCAGCCCGACAACCATCTCTATGGCAACAACGTCCATGACAACCACTAAAGTACAACCAAAAACAACAATCACCATGGCAACAACTACCGCACAACCCACAACAACAACAACAACAACCATGGCAACAACTACCACACAACCCACAACAACAACAACAATAACCATGGCAACAACTACAGTACAACCCACAACAACAACCATGGCAACAACTACAGTACAACCCACAACAACAACCATGGCAACAACTACAGTACAACCCACAACAACAACCATGGCTAGAACTACAGTACAACCAACAACTACAGCACAACCCACAACAATAACCATGGCAACAACTACAGTACAACCCACAACAACAACCATGGCAACAACTACAGTACAACCCACAACAACAACCATGGCAACAACTACAGTACAACCCACAACAACAACCATGGCAACAACTACAGTACAACCCACAACAACAACCATGGCAACAACTACAGTACAACCCACAACAACAGCCATGGCAACAACTACACTCATGCCTACCACTGCTGTTAAAAAAGTAAAACCAACTACTGTTGCAACTACAACAAACACAATCACAACAACAACGCCACAGATGAGCTCTACAACACTAGACAACCACATCCACAGAGAGAGTACAGCCAAACCCAGAGGAGACGTACACAGTGAGGACACACACACACACACACTCACACTATATATGTTTATCTATGCATAGTTATTAACAAAAGATATATTACATGACCTTGTGTTGTTTCCATCTCCATTCTCGTGTGTGTTTGGCTGTGAGACGTAGTTTGGAGAAAGTTGTCGGAGATTCTTCCTATTGTAAAGTCATGCAATGTGAAACCCCCTGTCGCCGTTCCATCCTACAGTGTAAACACAGCACCGACAGATGCTAATACAGATAGTCATGCAGTGTGAAAACATCCGCGACTACTTTAAAAATCCTGCAGTCTGAACTCAGCATAACACACACTATATATATTTAGGAATATGTGTTATGGATATAGGTTTGCATGACGACAATGTAGTGCAAAGTAGTCTATTAAATAAATAACGTGAAAACGTGTTCTATGTGAACGGCTCCTAACACCTAGTCTGTAACCGCATGCATGACAACCATATTTATTGGTTCGCGTATTTTTTTTTTACGTTAAAACAATAACAGCAGTGTATTCTGGCGTGGGTTTTCCAAGCGTATGGCAATTTTTTTAGTACAGTTAAAGTTCAGATAAAACCAAAATGTACGATGTTTATTTTACTATACAGTAAAAAATCCGTTGTTTTATGTTTTTTTTTTCTGGCAGCTAGAGTGCTGTAATACAAACTTGAAATAACGGCATGTACTTTACCGTAAAGTAACAGCAGTACATTACAGAAATTTACCGGAAATTTACATTGGAGGAAATTTCTGTAATTTAAAGTCCGTTATTTTACGGCTGTTATCTTACTTTTTTTTCCCGGCAGCTAGGGTGCTGAAAAAAAACACTAAAATAACGGCATGTATATTACAGACATTTACCGTAAAGTAACAGACGGTATATTACAGAAAATTACCGGAAATTTACATTTAAGGAAATTTCTGTTATTTAAAGTCCGTAATTTAACGGCCATTATTTAACATTTTTTTCACCCTAGCTGTCGGAAAAAAAACGTAAAATAACCGCATGCAAATTACAGACATTTACTGTAAAATAACGAGACGGTAAATTACAGAAATGGACCGGAAATTTTAATTTAAGGACATTTCTGTAATTTTATGTCCGTTATTTTCCGGCCTTTATTTGACTTTTTTCCAGCAGCTAGGGTGCCGGAAAAAAATGTAAAATAACAGCATGTAAATTACAGACATTTACTGAAAAAAGTAACAGACGGTACATTACAGAAATTTACGGGAAATTTAAATTGAAGGAAATTTCTGTAATTTAAAGTCCGTTATTTTACGGCCGTTATCTTACATTTTTTTTCCGGCAGCTAGGGTGCTGGAAAAAAAACCTAAAATAACGGCATGTATATTACAGACATTTACCGTAAAGTAACAGACGGTATATTACAGAAAATTACCGGAAATTTACATTTAAGGAAATTTCTATTATTTAAAGTCCGTTATTTAACCACCATTATTTAACATTTTTTTCACCCTAGCTGTCGGAAAAAAAACGTAAAATAACCGCATGTAAATTACAGACATTTACCATAAAATAATGAGACGGTAAATTACAGAAATGTACCAGAATTTTAATTAAAGGAAAATTTCTGTCATTTAATGTCCGTTATTTAACGGCTTTCATTTTACTTTTTTTTTCCAGCAGCTTGGGTGCTGGAAAAATATGTAAAATTACGGCATGTAAATTACAGACATTTACTGAAAAGTAACAGACGGTAAATTACATAAATTTACAAAAAAATTTTGATTTAAGGAAAGTTCTGTAATTTAAAGTCCGTTATTTTACAGTAAATGTCTGCAGTTTAACGGCCGTTAATTTACGTTTTTTTCTAGTAGCTAGGGTGCCAGAATAAAAACGTAAATTAACGGCATGTAAATTACAGGTAACAGACGGTACATTACAGAAATTTACCGGAAATTGAAATTTAAGGAAATTTCTGAAATTTAATGTCCGTTATTTCACGACCTTTATTTTACGTTTTTTTTCTTCTAGCAGCTAGGGTGCCGGAATAAAAACGTAAGTTAACGGCATGTAAATTACAGGTAACAGACGGTACATTACAGAAATTTACCGGAAATTGAAATTTAAGGAAATTACTGAAATTTAATGTCCGTTATTTGACGACCTTTATTTTACGTTTTTTTTCTAGCAGCTACGGTGCCGGAAAAAAATGTAAAATAACAGCATGTAAATTATAGACATTTACCGTTAAGTAACAGACCATACATTACAGAAATTTACTGGAATCGCCAGCAAACTCGTCCTGTATTTATTAATATAGTAATGGTGTGGGAATTGATTGACTTCTGATTGGTCTGTTTAGTTCCGCGGTTCGAGAACAGCCTGTTCGACTGGGACTTTGACATTGAGCTGGGAAACACGGGAGAATACACACGAGACGATCCAGGTACTGTTCACACACACACACACACACACACACACAGACATGGACACTATTAGACACACACACACACATACACACACACGGTCATAAACATACTGCATTACTTTGTGTTTGTCTCTGTATGTGTGTGTGCGTGTGTATATATCTTTCTTTCTGTGTGTGTCTGTGTGCATGTGTGTCTTTGAGTGTGTTTGTGGGAGTGTGTGTGTGTGTCTGTATGCGTGTATGCATCTCTGTATGTGTGTTTCTCTCTCACTTTGTGTGTGTGCGTGCGTGTGTGTGTTTCAGGTGCTGGTGTGGTGAGCTGCTCATTTGATGATGGAGTGTGTGTGTGGATGACGGATACAGAAGGAGATGTGAGCTGGGAAATTAAGGATGATCCGTCTGGTAAAACACACACACACACACACACACACACACACACACACACACACACACACACACACACACACACACACACACACACACACACACACAAAGAAGATCCATCATCATACGTTTACACGCACAAATAACCCAAACTCACCTGTCAATCACTCTCAGGTGGGCGGTACCTTTCAGTCCCCGAGGCTACAAACAGACGAAGCATCAAAGGGGCGCGGCTTACAGTGTCACTGGCTCCACCCACAAAGGTGTGGCAGGGCGGCGACCTCTGCCTGTCGTTCAAACACTGTCTCCATGGACACCACATTGGCTCGCTGCAGGTGTTTGTCAGGAAGGGGCGGAGTCACAGTCCATCCATCTGGACCAGGACTGGTGGACGCGGCTGGAGACACACCCACATCACACTGTGGGGGCGTGGCCTTGTTGATGTAAGCATGAATAAATCTACATTCCCAAAACCTCTAGAATCAGATTTTGTACATTTCATTTGTTTTAGAGTCCCGGCTGGGTCAGTTGGTGTTTTCTGTGTGGAGTTTGCATGTTCTCCCCGTGTTGGCGTGGGTTTCCTCCTGGTGCTCCGGTTTCCAGTCCAAACACATGCACTATAGGGGAATTGATGAACTAAATTGGCCGTAGTGTATGAGTGTGTGTGTCTGTGTGTGTGAATGAGTGTGTATGGGTGTTTCCCAGTACTGGGTAGCGGCTGAAAGGGCATCCACTGTGTAAAACATATGCTGGAATAGTAGGTGGTTCATTCCGCTGTGGCATCCACTGATGAATAAGGAACTAAGCTGAAGGAAAATGAATGAATGAATGAATACAGCATTGCGCGCACACACACACACACACACACACACACATTGATGATTTTGAATTGGTTTCTGCATTTAAACTTGAGTTAGAAAGGTTTGATGTGTTGCTCCAGTATTTTACAGGCCAGGCTCTGGAAGCAGCGTTCATGAGTACTGCAGCTTCTGATTATTGATTATTGATTATGGATTATTGAGTGTTTTCTTGTGTTCAGATCGTGCTGAAGGCAGAGCGACGGCGAGGGAAACATGGAGAGATCGCTGTGGATGATTTCAGTCTGAGACGAGGAGCCTGTGAAGATGGACACAAGCAGACTGAGTGACACACACACACACACACACACACACATACACGTTATATGGGGACTGCTGTACAGACTGTATATTTGGTCATCTTCATCTTCTAAATCAACCCTCACAGAGAAAACACTCTGCATTTGTACATCTTCATGATCCTTCATTCTGTCTGATTCATGAGCTGTTTCATCATGAGGCCCAAAACACTTAACACACATCAAAAATACTGGTACTACTATACTTGTGGGGACATTTGGTCCTCATAATGTGATAAATACCAGAAGTTCACACATCTACACACGAACACACAAAGAAACACTTACACAAACATACATGTACACAAACACACATCAAAACAACACATACACATCTACAAACACACACACACACATCACAAGCACCTACATAAACACATATGCATTCAAACACACATCTACAAACACACACACACACACACACACACACACACACACACACACATCACACACAAACACCTACATAAACACATATGCATTCAAACACACATCTACAAACACACACACACACACACACACACACACATCACACACAAACACCTACATAAACACATATGCATTCAAACACACATCTACAAACACACACACACACACACACACACACACATCACACACAAACACCTACATAAACACATATGCATTCAAACACACATCTACAAACACACACACACACACACACACACACATCACACACAAACACCTACATAAACACATATGCATACGAACACACATCTACACACAAACACACATCTATTAACACACACACACACAAACAAATATAAAAAACATAAACATACATCTACTAAAACATACACACACATCTCACACACCTACTCGCAGCTCCACAAACACACAAATCACTCTTACATCTACACAAACAGACGTGTACACACACACACAAATGTACACAAACACACATCTGCTAAAGCATACATACACATCTACACAAACACACATCACACACACATAAACGCCCCCAACACACAGCTCTACACCCACACACACACATGTACAGACATCCACACACAAACGCACATGCACACATCCACACGCACACAAATCTACAAAAACACAAACACACCTCACACACCTACACAGACAACACACACAAACACACATCGACGCCCCACCCCACATACACATTATTACACACAACTGCACACACATCTCACATGCATACACGCACCGCCACAGACAAATACACACTCACACATTTACACACACGCAAATCTACACGCAATCACAGACATCTACACACACACACACACACACACAAATGTACAAAAACACAACTACATCACGCACACCTATATACACACACACACATACACATCACACACATCTGCACCCCTTACACACACAGAAACTGATTTAAAACAGTATTAAACTCATACACATATATATTTTACATTTGTAGCAAGTAAAAACACCTAAAAGTTAATTTAAATATGAATTTAATTCATTAATAATGAGATTATATTTAAAACGCCGTACAGCACACATGTTTGATACTCAGTGCTTTAATGCAATCAAACTTCATACGTCATTAATAAATCCTCAAGTGTTATTCATCAGTGTTACTGCTATAATTATTCAGGAATAATGATTAAAACTGAATTATTATTGCTGTTTGTATCTGCTTTTACTCTGTGTACAGTATTACTGCATAATTCAGGAATGATTTCTGTAGCTTGTTGTAAATATGCTTGTTTTTAAATATCTCTGTGTATGCGAGTGTGAATTTAATTAAATCTTTGCTGTTGATTATTTAAATTACAGGCATGCTTTGCGTGTGTTTGATAACGCCTGATCAATTTCACCTGTAAAATAAACATGTTAAATGAACTTATTGTGCTGGCGCGGCCCAGAAGCTGTTAGGGTCCGCTGTGGGCAGCACACTGTGGGCCCAGACACCGGTGTGAAGTGTAAGGCATGTTTGGGCCCTCTTTGGGCTGACTGTGGGCTGTCCCGCACTAATCAGGGGTGCATTTCCGAAAACCATCAATAGCCAACTAAGTTCTGTCGTTACAAATATAGTCAGTTGATTTGCCGTTTCCCAAATCCATCGTTCCAACGAACATTCGCAAACTGCATTGCAAACTTGTATGCTTGCAGCTACACCTCTGGAGCTGTAGTTAGAAACGGAGGTCCTGGCTGTGTTCCATTCCCCGTTATCCCCCCTATGCCCTATTCATTTAGAACTTTCGGTAACACTTTATAATAACTACACACTATGAATCGTTTACTAAGCATTAGCATCTATTGAATTCATCATTTGTTAAGCATTAACTCTACATTACAGTTTTTTTTGGATTGCTTAAGCACGATTTTCAAAACAGGGCCCGTGTTTTCAAAACAGTACACACAATTAGCACAACCCCACTACCAATTAGCAAAACATTACAGATCCTTTGCATAATTAAACACTCTTATAAAAACTATAGACTTAAGTTTAAAAACCACACTTTTTTACCATAAGAAACACACATTTTCACATTTACTATTCTCTGTTTGCACGAGTTACACACTGCTGTGATAAACCTAAAACACTTTTAGCACTTCTGCTTGCCTATGATTAGAGTAGGCTACCATCAACAAAGTACAAATATAAAGTAAATTCACCAAACACTAAGAACAATGCTGCACACGGAAGAAACTCATTTATTCCTCAACATGTTGGCATGAAGATTCAAAGTATTGTAACGTCACTTTACGTAGTAAGAAAAATAAAATGAAATACTGTTATAATGGCCATTATTGATTATTAAAACTGATATTCTGCAAAAGAGACGGGGTTAAGTTCATTCTTTTCAATGGAAATGAAATGAGACAGTTATATTTAAGCCTGTTTTGTTATAAATATGCAGAGTGGAGATGATGCTCATATAAATATGCAGCTACACGAGGCTGTTTGGTGTCTGTTAATCATAATATCAAAATTAAACACATTTGACTTATATTATGTTTTCATTGTTTAGATAGTGAAACAGCAAGCAGGATGAGGTGAAAGAGGTTATAAAGTACACTGTTCCCTTTGAAGATTTAGCCATGCATCAGCAGGCAGTTTGTGTTATGTTTATTCTTGAATATAGGCTGAGTGAATAGTGTATTAAATAAGCTAAATTGGCTGTAGTGTATGAGTGTGTGTGTGAATGAGTGTGTATGGGTGATTTCCAATACTGGGTTGTGGCTGGAAAGGCATCTGCTGCATAAAACATGCTGGAATAGTTGGCAGTTCATTCCACTGCGGCAACCCCTGATAAATAAGGGACTAATGCGAAAAAAAAATGAATGAATGAATGAATGAATAGTGTATTTTTAAGAACTCAACAAATATCTTTATGGACAGTACACAGAAATTAAATTGAGATTAAAGTTTGTATTTATTTATTTATTTCATATAAATGGCTTTTGTGCTTTATAAAATATGAGGTTATAAAAATATTGGACGTGCATAAATGGATAGGATTTTGATTAAATGTAGTGGGCCGCTCTGGCCCAAAATGCCAGGGCCGATTTTTTGCCCCAGTCCAGCCCTGCTCGTGTTATCCACTCCTTTAAGTGGACTACTGTAGGGAAGAGTGAATGAGGCGATTTCGGATACAGCATGTCTGTTTCTCTTTCTGAAGCAGGTGTTCTCCACAAATCTTACATGTAAACTCCTCCCAGAGCACTGGAACTTTAATAAGAGCTCACAAGAGCTTATTTGTGTGTGTGTGTGTGTGTGTGTGTGTGTGTGTGTGTGTGTGTGTGTGTGTGTGTGTGTGTGTGTGTGTGCGCGCGCGCTCACAAACACTTGTTTAATGTGTGTGTGCGTGCTTTGTCGCAGAGAAACAGTGCGGCTCTGTGGCTCCATCTAGTGGCCGAACTGATGCTTTACAGCCAGCAAACACTCACTGTCCTCACGTCAGTTTTGTTGTACAATGAAAACAAAAAACCGAAACACCTTTGTCCCCTGTAATCTCTTATTGGAATGATATATTTAGAGATTTGAAATAAGAAAAAAACATGTTCTTTGCAATAAAAATATTCCCTCACCAACATGGACGAAGAAGTGTCTTTTAAATTAATCAACAAGTTTTATCCTGTTGAACAACTTTTGAAAAGGTTTCATTCTAATATTGATGTAAAATGTTCATTTTGTCAATTTCATACTAAAACTGTGTTTCCTTTATTTTGGGAGTGTAATTATGCTGTACAATTTTGGAAACATATCGGCTCATTTATTAATGATAATCTACAGCAAGATGTTTCTGCCACTTTTAAAGAATTTATTTTTGGTTATGATGAATCTCCCTCTACTTGTTTTGTTTTAAACTAATTTATTTTCTTTGTAAATTCCACATCCACAAATGCAAATTTACCAATACCAAACCATATTTTCCTGTTTTTTGTTTGTTTGTTTGTTTGTTTTTTGCAAGAATTTACTCATTATTTACATTAATTACATAATCTTAAAATAAGAAAGCTAACAGAACTGTTTCATTCTGTAATGACTTTAATTTATGCACTTTATATACAGTTGAAGTCAGAATTATTAGCCGCACTGTTTATATTTTTCCCCAATTTCTGTGTAACAGAGAGCAGATTTCTTCAACACATTTCTAATCATAATAGTGTTAATAACTCATCTCTAATAACTGATTTATTTTCTCTTTGTCATGATGACAGTAAATAATATTAGACTAGATATTCTTTTAGACACTTCTATACAGCTTAAAGTGACATTTAAAGGCTTCACTAGGGTAATTAGGGTAACTAGACAGATTAGAGTCATTGAGCAAGTTATTGTATAAGGATGGTTTGTTCTATAGACTATCAATAAAAAATATAGCTTAAAGGGGATAATAATATTGACCTTAAAATTGTTTTAAAAAAAATTAAAACTGCTTTTATTCTAGACAAAATAAAAAAATAAGACTTTCTCCAGAAGAACAAATATTATCAGACATACTGTGAAAATTTCCTGAATCTGTTCAACATCATTTGTGAAATATTTAAAAAAGAAAAAAAATATCAAAGGGGGCGAATAATATGTTGTGGAGTTTGTTTACGCGTAGCCCCGCCCACCGACTCCACTTACAGCCCCGCCCCCCTTCTGTCAAGCGACCACCAGAATAACCTGCAGACTTTCACAGGAGCACATGCGGTGACAGCTGAGAGACAGAGAAACACAGATCAGGAGAATATGATCCCACACACACACACACACACACACACACACACACACACACGCTGCAGCTCCTCTGCTCGAACACACACGGCTCTCAGCTGAAGATCTGCTCTTTATTTGACATTAATAACCGCGAATATCCACCGCAGCAGGTATGATTGCGTGATCCTCAGTGATCTTGTGTGTGTGTGTGTGTGTGTGTGTGTGTGTGTGTGTGTGTGTGTGTGTGTGTGTGTGTGTGTGTGTGTGTGTGTGTGTGCGCGCGCGCT